GTCGACGTGTAGCCAAAGAGGGGCTCGTTGAACCTCCTATGGAAGAGCAAGGGATTTGCGGGTTTATAATTTGCTTTGCAGGCCGCGAATATATCTTAATAAACCTCCAGAAAGTACAATACATATAAATGTTTATATAAGCACTTTACAACTTCCCTTTATTGGTACATTTGACAGTTTGTGCGTGTACATTTCACCCAACCTCTGTAGGAAACCTCGACAATAATTGCAGTTCCTTTCAGTGTCCATTACAGCTGTATGAGTGTATCAAAGGGGCTGTTCTTGTTTGATCAAATATGTCGCATGCATTGTTTTAAATCTTTCTTTAAATGCTCGTTAATGATGATGACTTTTTATTTAATCGAACTCAATACATAGCTTTCATTTATTCAGATATCGCAGAGTGTAAAATGTAACACACACCGGGATTGTATTTCTCGGTTGAGCTGGTCCGTGTAATTGTCAGTTGGCATTCTCCGATATCTTCACCTGTAATTCCGGGGTTGGGCAGGGTGAAAATCTTTCTCCATTTTTATTTTCATTGTATCTAAATGACCTTGAAATGTTTTTAGAATTGTACAGGCCTATCAAACTTGAGAATGAGTTACAAATATATCTCAAGTTGTATGTAATGTTATATGCTGACGACACTATTTTGTTAGCAGACACCCCAGAAGATTTACAAAAACATCTTAATGTGTTTTATGATTATTCAAAATTGTGGCATCTTAAGTAAATATCGATAAAACAAAAGTGATGATATTTGGCAGAGGGAGAGTATCCCAAAATATACGTTTTACTTATAACAGAAATGAAGTAGAAATTGTGAAAAATATCAAATATCTTGGTGTTCATTTTACTCAAATTGGTTTCACGCAGTTAAATATTAGACAATTATACGATAAGGGCCTTAGAGCAATGTATGGTGCTATTGCTAAATGCAGAGACCATAATCTATCAATTGACTGTAAATTAGATATTTTCGATAAAGCTATCAAGCCTGTGATGTTGTATGGTTATGAAGTCTGGGTTTTTTGTGATTACAAACTGTTAGAACGTTTACATTTAAAATTCTGTAAACATATTCTTCAGGTGAAAACATCGACACCCAATTTCATGATTTATGGGGAATTAGGAAGATTTCCTCTGAGTATAAATATCAAAGTTAGAATGATTGGATTTTGGGCCAAATTGTTAGAACCAATACCTAATAAGTTAAGTAATAAAATGTATAAAATTATTATAAACTATAATACTCAATGGTTGAATTGTATTAAAAATATCCTTGATGAATGTAATTTAATAAATATATTTGAAAGTCAAGAATTCCAAAGTACCCAATGGTTGAAAAATACAGTTTTCCATATACTAAAAGATAAATTCATTAATAATTGGAGAAGCGATGTTTTCAATTCATCTAAAGGGACCAATTACAGAATTTTTAAAAATGACTTAGTATTAGAAAAATACCTGCTAGATCTCCCTCCAAGACTAGCAAATGTTTATTGTAAATTTAGAATTTGTAATGTAAAATTTCCTATTGAATGTGGTATATGGAATAACATTCCAAGAGAAGATAGAAAATGTATTTTTTGTGACCTAAATGAAATTGGAGACGAATATCATTATTTATTTAATTGTAATGACCACCAGATAGTGCAAAACAGAAGAAAATTTATGTCGAGATACTATTTTGAAAGTCTTAGTATTTTAAAGTTTAATACATTATTTAATTATGTCAATAATGAAGAACTAATTTCACTTATAAAATTCCTTACGCACATAATTGAGCGAATTAACACTTGCCATTAACACCATGATTTATATGTAAACTGTACTATATATATGTATATAATTCTCTACACTGTAACCAGTTTGCGAGAATAAAAACTTGTCATTGTCATGTCCAAAGGGATTAACATGTGAAAAGGCATACGGTAGAACACACAAACATTAAGATGCATGTGTAAATGCCAAAAATAGATATAAAACAAAATAGATAAATAGATAAATAAAATTAAATAAAAATAATGTAAAAGACTAGGATATAACCAAAAAATATTGTGCAAATTATATACCTCAGGAACTGCATGCTTTGTTTTCTGGGAAAATATTACAAAATAAAAAAGATAATAAAAAAATATCGAAGATAATACAGTCTATACACGTTAGAACTGACACGAGGAATACATGTGTTCATTACCTAAATTATCGAATAAAAAAACCCAAATTGTATTGGTGCAGAAAATCGTTCAAAGTCTACGTACGATGTCGAATTAATTCCGTCTATCAATTGATGGAGCAAGACTAAACTTATTCAATTGTTTTCTATTCCTATTGAGTGAATCCCTACAGTGAGCATAAAACCTAATCATTTGGAATAACTTTATTTGCAAAAGAGTAGCCAGCTGATTGCCCTGTACGTTCATTGTCAGTTTTAACATAATTAAAACATGGACAGGTAATATGACGAAGAGCAAAATAAATATTGTCATGTTTAGATAATGCATTTGTGTTACTAAAAACCAAAAAATTGTTTTTAAACAAGTGAACGAAACACTAAATACAGCTGTATGTATACACTCCCATATGTGAAGTGATTGACAAATTAGAAGCTAACCTTTGGATTGCCCATTATGAATTTGTTGTCCAGAAATAAAGCGATATTTTCGGTCTATCGCAGTCCAAATCATCGAGGTTCGCACTAAATATAACTGGGCATCGCTAATCCGGATATTTTTGACCGAAATAAAGAATTTTCTGGACAATTGTGGTAAAAAACAAGTCATTTAATTTTTCCGGATTAGCGAAGTCCGGATAACAAAGTAACATGATAGAATGTCGTACGGAGAGGTTTTTAGAAAGTCATTGATCGGAATATAACTAGATGATAGTAGATATCCTTAAGCTTGTGCAAACATTGTCACATATATTGGTATTAGCGAAGGCAAAACCCCCCACCAAATTCTGTCAGAAACACGACAGATGCTACACCCTCTGTAGTAAACTGATATGCTGGTAGACGGGAAAAATTGATTTTACTGTAAATTTCCAACTTTTTTTTTTATATTATCGATGTCACATATAGGAGTGGAGAATATCTGACTACTAAATAACATTGCTGTTGTCACATTCTGCCTCAACAAGTCCTCTACATAATGTTCATCTCCAAACATCAAAGAAAGGTCAAATGTCAAATTAATCGGCTTCGGAGCAAGAAATCGACCTCGAATAATACACAGTGCCATGGGAGCACGAAATACATCGCGATTTATGTCCGGAAAAATCGCTCCACTCTAAAATTACTTATGTTCTTCTCCTTTGTTCTTCGCGTGTTTTGGTATTAGAAACAATATTGACATAGTTAACATATCAAAATAAATTTCACGGCTAACTAAATAAATAATTGATGCCTACATACACATGATCCACCATGGTTAAATTGTGATATACAGATGGGAGTGTGCCGTATATTATCCGCAGGATTTTAAATGAAGACTCGATGTCATTCTACAGGAACAGATAGACGTTGTTTATAATCCTAAACGAAGGAATGTCCCCGAGCGTGTTGACGTATTTTATATATCCACTGTCATAAAACTTCTTAAAACGTCGAGATTACCGAAATTACGAGCCGTCAAACACTGTTATTAATTACATAATATGTTTGTTTTATTTGTGTATGGAATACTGACAACATATATGATTTGTTGTTTGTGCGATGTGATGCTATGCAGTGCTGTTATATTTTGTACCTACCTTATGATTACCCCGGTAGAAGACCTCACACGGTAGTTTAGCTGTCCGCCCGACTGTTGTTGTGATGTTGTGTTGTGATGCTGTGTTGTGATGTTGTGTTATGCTGTGTTGTGCTGTTGTGTTGTGATTTTGTACATACCTTATGATTACCCCGATAGAAGACCTCACACGGTAGTTTAGCTGTCCGCCCGGCTGTTTTTGGGATGTTGTGTTGTGATGTGCTGTTGTGTTGTGATGTTGTACATACCTTATGATTACCCCGATAGAAAACCTCACACGGTAGTTTAGCTGTCTACCCGGCTGTTGTTGTGATGTTGTGTTGTGATGCTGTGTTGTGATGTTGTGTTATGCTGTGTTGTGCTGTTGTGTTGTGATTTTGTACATACCTTATGATTACCCCGATAGAAAATCTCACACGGTAGTTTTGCTGTCTGCCCGGCTGTTGTTGTGATGTTGTACTGTGATGTTTTGTTGTGATGTTGTGTTATGATGTTGGGTTATGTTGTGTTGTGCTGTTGTGTTGTGATGTTGCACATACCTTATGATTACCCCGATAGAAAATCTCACACGATAGTTTAGCTGTCTGCCCGGCTGTTGTTGTGATGTTGTACTGTGATGTTTTGTTGTGATGTTGTGTTATGATGTTGTGTTATGTTGTGTTGTGCTGTTGTGTTGTGATGTTGTACATACCTTATGATTGCCCCGATAGAAAACCTCACACGGTAGTTTAGCTGTCTGCCCGGTTGTTGTTGTGATGTTGTACTGTGATGTTTTGTTGTGATGTTGCGTTATGATGTTGTGTTATGTTGTGTTGTGCTGTTGTGTTGGGAGGTTGTACATACCTTATGATTACCCCGATAGAAAACCTCACACGGTAGTGTAGCTGTCTGCCTGGCTGTTGTTGTGATGTTGTACTGTGATGTTTTGTTGTGATGTTGTGTTATGATGTTGTGTTATGTTGTGTCGTGCTGTTGTGTTGTGATGTTGTACATACCTTATGATTACCCCGATAGAAAGCCTCACACGGTAGTTTAGCTGTCTACCCGGCTGTTGTTGTGATGTTGTGTTGTGATGCTGTGTTGTGATGTTGTGTTATGCTGTGTTGTGCTGTTGTGTTGTGATTTTGTACATACCTTATGATTACCCCGATAGAAGACCTCACACGGCAGTTTAGCTGTCCGCCCGGCTGTTTTTGGGATGTTGTGTTGTGATGAGGTGTTGTGTTGTGATGTTGTACATACCTTATGATTACCCCGATAGAAGACCTCACACGGCAGTTTAGCTGTCCGCCCGGATGTTGTTGTGATGTTGACGGGCGATGTGTCGAATACCGGATACAGTGTCGTCTGCGTCGAGTGTTCAATGGCGGACAGAACTGAAACAAACAAAACCAGACAAAGAGTTATAGAAAGTTGTCGTCATCACATCACGAAGCCAGACCTGGGGACAAAGTCATAATCACGTACCCTCACTCACACTTTCGAAGAACACGTTTATTTTGAGAAGTGAGCCTGATTACATTCGTAACATCAACAATAATGGAAGGAAAATGTCACTCATCTGTTGTATTTAGCAGAAAATCAAACTCTACCTTCATGTAGAACAGCACAAAAAGGAGAAAACATCAAAAAGGTCATACTGTCCTATCTACATTGGAAGGTCAATCGCTAAAGCGAGTAAACGTTTACAACACCTCCTTACGCTTTCAAGCAATACATGATATTCAAAATCGGAAACAAACAAAACTAGAAAAACAAAACGGACACTTCCCGAAATTTTATTGTTGATCGAATGTAAAACAAAACCTTTAAACTATAACAAGTTTTCACTCATCCACCTCTGAATGGCCGTGAATAAAGTTATGCTATATAAATCAATGTCTTCTTTCTTTAAGATTTATGACACAATGTACTTCTGAGACCAAGGACCGCCTAATTAGCGTAATATCAGGTTTTCAATTGTGGCCTTTCAAAATTGTCAAAATTTCAGACTATCATTAAAACGAGAAAGATTCAAAATTATTTTCATAAGACAATTTTATACAGATAAAAGTTAGCGTTCAGTAAACTTTGCTTCGAGACTTTGAACAAGTGCAGACCAAGAAGCTAGTTTTGCTTGGTAAAATGTACGTATCTGTCCTAGAGACACTGATTGTGTGTATCACACTATACGCCTGTTAAAACCAACTTAATTAAACCCAGCCTGTTAATGGAGATGAAGTAGAGATAGTATTGTTGTCTGTCGTTGAGGTACACATTCATATACTTTGAATTGATATATCCGAACCGAGCCTTGGCGAGGCAATTAGAACCTCACGCGCACGACAGATACAATGTGCTAGTTGTCCACGAAAAAAACCCACCAGTTGAACCCAGAATGCGTGCTCTATGCAAATAAAGATTATTGTAGTGGTTTTTAAACTTTTACTCACATTGTTGTTGTAGCGGTTTATAAACAGGAACACACCTTGATGATTTAAAAGTTATGAATTGCTACACACCTTGATGTTGGAACTGTTATAAACAGTAACATACCTTGCTGTTGTACCGGTTATAAACAATAACATACCTTGCTGTTGTACCGGTTATAGACAGTAACATACCTTACTGTTGTACCGGTTATAAACAGTAACAAACCTTGCTGTTGTACCGGTTATACACAGTTACATACCTTGCTGTTGTACCGGTTGTAAACAGTACCACATATAGATGTTGTACCGGTTGTTAACAGTACCACATATAGCTGTTGTACCGGGTATAAACAATAACACATATATATGTTGCAACTGTTGACTGGTCACATGTTAGGTAATCGAACGCACCTATTATTACAAGCACCCCGATGATCAAGCGTTGTTGGTACTGGATTGTTGACGGTCGTCTGTCGGTAGATCTAAACATCACATTCGACATAGAACTTTTTGGTTTTTCATTGGTCAAGTAACAAAACAGTTGTTTCATGCCTTTTAAGTCAACAGTCAAACCATTTTCCCTCGGAGTTGGGACACACCAAATGAACTGTTTCCCTCGGCCTGCGGCCTCGGGAAACAGTTCATCTGGTGGGTCCCAACTCCTCGGGAAAATAGTTTTGACTGTTGACTGATAAGGCATGAAACAACTGTATACTGTTGTACCGGTTATACACAGTTACATACCTTGCTGTTGTACCGGTTATAAACAGTAACAAACCTTGCTGTTGTACCGGTTATACACAGTTACATACCTTGCTGTTGTACAGGTTATAAACAATAAAATACCTTGCTGTTGTACCGGTTATAAACAGTAACTCACCTTGCTGTTGTACCGGTTACAAACAGTAACATACATTGCTGTTGTACCGGTTATAAACAGTAACATACCTTATTGTTACCTGACTCGCTATATAAATGCATATTAATCAATTTCGACTGTTTCCCAGACGATTCACCAAACGACCTATAGCTTATGTGTGCTACCGTAAAACTGTTGACTGGTCACCGTAAAACTGTTGAGTGGTCACGTGAAACTGTTGACTGGTCACGTGCAACTGTTGACTGGTCGCATGTTAGGTAATCGAACGCACCTATAATTACAAGCACCCCGATGATCAAGCGTTGTTGGTACTCGATTGTTGACGGTCGTCTGTCGGTAGACCTAAACATCACATTCGACATAGAACTTTTTGGTTTTTCATTGTTAAGTAACAAAACAGTTGTTTCATGCCTTATCAGTCAACAGTCAAACCTATTTTCCCGAGGAGTTGGGCCCCTCCAGATGAACTGTTTCCCGAGGCCGCAGGCCGAGGGAAACAGTTCATTTGGTGGGTCCCAACTCCGAGGGAAAATGGTTTTGACTGTTGACTGATAAGGCATGAAACAACTGTATATTGTTGTACCGGTTATAAACAGTAACATACCTTGCTGTTGTAACAGTTATAAACAGTAACATACCTTACTGTTGTACCGGTTATAAACAGTAACATACCTTACTGTTTTACCGTTTATAAACAATAAGATACCTTACTGTTTTACCGTTTATAAACAATAAGATACATGTACCTTGCTGTTTTACCGGTTATAAACAATAACATACCTTGCTGTTGTACCGGTTATAAACAGTAACATACCTTGCTGTTGTACCGGTTATAAACAGTAACAAACCTTACTGTTGTACCGGTTATACACAGAAACATACCTTGCTGTTGTACCGGTTGTAAACAGTACCACATATAGATGTTGTTCCGTATATAAACAGCAACATACCTTGTTGTTGTACCGGTTATAAACAATAACATACCTTGCTGTTGTACCGGTTATAGATAGTAACATACCTTGCTGTTGTACCGGTTATAAACAGTAACATACCTTACTGTTGTACCGGTTATACACAGAAACATACCTTGCTGTTGTACCGGTTATAAACAGCAACAAACCTTGCTGTTGAACCGGTTATACACAGAAACATACCTCGCTGTTGTACCGGTTATAAACAATAACATACCTTGCTGTTGTACCGGTTATAAACAGTAACATACCTTGCTGTTGTACCGGTTATAAACAGTAACATACCTTGCTGTTGTACCGGTTATAAACAATAGCATACCTTGCTGTTGTACCGGTTATAAACAATAACATACCTTGCTGTTGTACCGGTTGTAAACAGTACCACATATAGATGTTGTACCGGGTATAAACAGTAACACATATAGATGTTGTACCGGGTATAAACATTATCATATATGTCTGTTGTACCGGATATAAACAGTATCACACATAGCTGTTGTACCGGTTTTTAACAGTACCACATATAGATGTTGTACCGGTTGTTATCAGTACCACATAAAGATGTTGTACCGGTTATAAAGAGTAACACATACGGCTGTTGTACCGGGTAAAAACAGTATCACATACGGCTGTTGTACCGGACATAAACAGTATCACATATGGCTGTTGTACCGGACATAAACAGTATCACATATGGCTGTTGTACCGGGTATAAACAGTACAACATATGGCTGTTGTACCGGGTATAAACAGTACAACATATAGATGTTGAACCGGGTATAAACAGTACCACATATAGCTGTTGAACCGGGTGTTAACAGAACGACATATAGATGTTGTACCGGTTGTTAACAGTACCACATATAGATTATTGTACCGGTTGTTAACAGTAGCACATAAAGCTGTTGTACCGCTTGTAAACAGTAACACATAAATATGTTGTACCGGTTGTTAACAGTACCACATTTAGATGTTGTACCGGGTATAAACATTAACACCTATGGCTGTTGTACCGGTTGTTGACAGTACCATATATAGATGTTGTACTGGTTGCTAACGGTACCACATATAGATGTTGGACTGGTTGTTAACAGTACCACACATAAATGTTGTACCGGTTGTTAACAATAAACAGTAACACATATAGATGTTGTACTGGCTGTTAACAGTACCACATATAGCTTTTGTACCGGGTATAAACATTAACACCTATGGCTGTTGTACCGGTTGTTAACAGTCCCACATTTAGATGTTGTACCGGGTATAAACAGTAACACATAAATATGTTGTACTAAACAATAGCATACCTTGCTGTTGTACCGGTTATAAACAGTAACATACCATGCTGTTGTACCGGTTATAAATAGTACCACATATAGATGTTGTACCAGGTATAAATAGTACCACATATAGATGTTGTACTGGTCGTTAACAGTACCACATATAGCTGTTGTACGGGTATAAACAGTACCACATATTGATGTTGTACCGGGTATAAACATTAACACCTATGGCTGTTGTACCGGTTGTTACAGTACCATATATAGATGTTGTACTGGTTGTTAGCAGTACCACATATAGCTGTTGTACCGAGTATAAACAGTACAACATATAGCTGGTACCGCTTGTAAACAGTAACACCTACATATGTTGTACCGGTTGTTAACAGAAACACATATAGATGTTGTACTGGAGTAACACATATCAATGTTGTACCGGTCATAAACAGCAACACATAAAGATGTTGTACCGGTTGTTAAAAGTAACACATAAAGATGTTGTACCGGTTGTTAAAAGTAACACATAAAGATGTTGTACCGGTTGTTAACAGTCATATAGCTGTTGTACGGGTTGTTAACAGTAACACAAAGAGATGTTGTACCGGGTATAAACGGTACAACATATAGCTGTTGTACCGGTACCGGTTATAAACAGTAACATACCATGCTGTTGTACCGGTTATAAATAGTACCACATATAGATGTTGTACAGGTTATAAACAGTAACACATATAGATGTTGTACAGGTTGTTAACAGTACCACATTTAGATGTTGTACTGGTTGTTACAAGTACCACATATAACTGTTGTACCGGGTATAAACAGTAAAACATA